AAGTTCAAGATCTTTTTGATTCAAATTCTTTAAGTCATCTTGAAGAGAGGAAAGGATTCCAATTATTTTGTTAGAAGGATAATCATCAATAGAAGTTTTATAAGAAATTCGAGAGAGGGCGTCAGCTTTTTGATTTCTAGTTCCAGGTCTGTATACTAATTGGAAGTTAAAGCGGTTAAAAAAGAGGTTCCATCTAACTTGTCTAGCTGTAAGGGTTTTGTTAGTATACAGATATTCGAGATTTTTATGATCAGTATAAACAACTATAGGTTGTTTTGTATCTTCAAGAAGATGACGCCAATTTTCAAGGGCAGCTTTAACGCTTAACAATTCTTTTTCACCAATAGGATAATTTTTCTCAGCAGAACTCAAGGATCTTGAAAAGAAGGCAACTGGATGAAGTGGATCTTGAGGTGTCTTTTGTTGAGAAAGAACTGCTCCGATAGCTGAATCTGATGCATCTACTTCAAGAACATATAAGAATGTTGGATTAGGTAGTTGCAGAATAGGTGCGGTTGTAAATCTTTTTTTTAATTCAGTAAAGGCTTTTTGGGCTTCTTTATTCCAATTAAAAGGACGTTTACTACTGTTAAGAAGATTAAGTGGACGTGATACATCTGAGTAGTTTCTAATAAATTTCCTATAGAAATTTGCAAATCCAAGAAATCGCTGTAATTCTTTAGTAGTAGCAGGAACGGGCCAGTTAATAATACATTCAATTTTTGAGTTATCCATTTTTAAGGAATGAGGTGAAATAATATATCCTAGGAAAGATAATTCGGTAACCTCAAAAAGGCATTTCTCAGGTTTAGCGTATAATTTGTGAGTTCTCAATCTAGATAGAACCCATCTTACATGCTTCCTATGTTCATCCAGATTGTTAGAATATATTAAGATATCATCTAAATAGATAATAACACATATATCCAGGAGATCTCTAAAGATATCATTTATGAAATGTTGGAATGTAGCAGGGGCATTACAAAGCCCAAAAGGCATTACAAGATATTCGTATAGACCATATCTTGTTCGGAAAGCGGTCTTCCATTCATCATCCTGTTTTATTCTAATGAGGTTATAAGCGCCCCGAAGGTCGAGTTTAGTGAATATAGTTGCAGTTCTTAATCTTTCAATTAATTCATTTATTAGCGGAAGAGGATAACGGTTTTTTATTGTTATTTTATTTAAGGCTCTGTAATCTATAATGGGACGGATGGTTTGATCTTTATTTCTCACGAAGAATATACTAGAAGCAGCCGGGGATGTCGAGGGTCTGATGAACCCTTTACGTAAATTTTCATTAAGATATTCCTTTAAGATTTCTAATTCCTTTTCAGAAAGTGGGTAGATGTGACCATAAGGAATGGGAACTCCAGGTATTAGATCAATTGGGCAATCATATACCCGATGAGGTGGAAGTGTTTCTGCTTCTTTTTTACAGAAGACATCTGAAAAATCGGAGTAGAATGTAGGTATAACTGGTTCTTTAGTAATTTGGAGAATAGGAATATGTTGAAAACACGTTTTTTTACAGAAATCAGAGGAGAAAGAGATGGTAAAAGGAGACCATTCAATTAGAGGATTATGGGTTTTTAACCAATTAATTCCTAAAATGACCGGATAAAGTGGAGATTTAATAACATCAAATGTAAGGAATTCGGTATAAACGTTGTTGGTAGTTACTTTTAGAGGAATTGTCTCATCTTTTATGGGTCCAGAGGATCTAAATGAACCATCAATAACTCTGATTGGAACAAAGTGAGTTTTTCGAACACAAGGAATTTTATTTTTTATAACAAAAGAAAAATCAAGAAAGGTTCCATTGGCACCAGAATCAATTATAGCCTCAGTCACGATTCTTTTTGTATCCCACTGTAATATGAGAGATATAGAAAAATAAGTAGATGTTTTTCTTTTTTGTAGTATGTTCAATATTGAAGTAGATGAATGATGCTTACCACTTTTTGAATGTTTCAGTAGAGGACAATCGGGAATTATATGTTCTTTCGAGGCACAATACATACATAAGTTTAATTGTCTCCTTCTTATTCTTTCTTCAGAAGTAAGAGGACTTCTTATTATACCTACTTCCATAGGTTCGGTTTGAGTAGAGAATTTTTCAGTAATTTTAGGAGAAGTGATAGGTTTTCTCCAGGTAGAATTAGTAAGAACTTTTTCAGCTCTTCTTTCTCTTAGACGTCTATCAATACTAATGGAAAGTTGAATCAATGCATTTAAGGTGGGAGGAAGTTCAGTACGAGAGAGTTCATCCTTCACAGCTTCTGATAATCCGAGACGGAATTGATTGCGTAAAGAAATGTCATTCCATTGGGTTTCTGTAGCCCATCTTTTGAATTCTGCAATATAGTCTTCAACAGGTCTATTCTTTTGGTGGAGAGTTCTGATGGTTAAATCAGCAGTAGCCTGTTTATAAGGGTCTTCATAAAGTAAAGACATAGCTTCAAAGAACTCATCCAATGAATCTAATATGGGATCATCATTCTCTAAAAAGGAATGGGCCCATGCCATAGGTTCACCTCTTAAAAAAGAGATCACTGAACAAACTTTGGATCTTTTGGTGAGATAAGATCTAGGTTTTAAGGCTATTAGGAGTTTGCAAGAATTCAAAAACTCTCTGTACTTTGTTCTATCTCCATAAAATTTTTCAGGATTACAGACAGCAGGATCGGCAGCCGATTGAAGAGCGGCATGAGGAAGGTGACCTTGCATGTCTCTAACATAAGTTAATATTCTCTCATTTGTAATTTGCAGTTCCTGTAAACCCTGAGCAATCGTATCCACTCTATTGGTTAGGGCAGAAACTTGAGCGTTAATATCTGCTGGTTCCATTGTAAAAGGCTGGATTATTCTGTGATACTTATTTTTTAATTGGAACACAACTGCAGAGTTTCCTAATTGAAGTATTTGCTAGATTCACCTCTTTTTATATTGAAAAAGGAGTAATTACTATTACCTTAATTACACATGTAGCTTAGAATTTGTGTGTAACTAAAAGAATCTGTTAATTTTCAGATGTCACTTAAATTCCCTTCTGTAGAATCAATAGTAATAAATGAAGCAGGAGAAGTTGTAATAATAATTGAGTTGATTATTGGAGGGTGAATTATTGTTATAAGTAGATCAATTAGAATAAGAAACTTAATTAGAGAGAATGACACAGTGGATTAATTGGAACAGAAATACTTAACTTAATAAGGCAAGTTCTGGAACTTAAGGGTTATTTTCACCCGATGGAATGAGAAGATAGTCCATTAAGCAAGCCGTGGTCTAGGAGTGGAGAGAGGAGAAGTCCGTTTAGCAATCCGTGGTCTAGGAGTGGAGAGAGGAGAAGTCCGTTTAGCAATCCGTGGTTTTAGGAGTGGAGAGAGTTGAAGTCCGTTTAGCAATCCGTGGTCTAGGAGTGGAGAGAGTGGAAGTCCGTTTAGCAATCCATGGTCTTGGAGTGAAGAGAGTGGAAGTCCGTTTAGCAATCCGTGGTTTAGGAGTGGAGAGAGTGGAAGTCCGTTTAGCAATCCGTGGTTTGATACAAGCAGGATGGAGTAAAACAGCTGATCACTTTTCAGGTACCTGTGTAATAATCCAGCGTTTTGAATCTGGCGCGGTCTCCCTAAGTATCGTGGAGGGACCGCGTCAGAGAAAGGGGAGGAGCTAAGCGCCGTGAACCCGGAAGTGGGTTCTTACGGCGAATGTATTTTAAGTTATACCTGACACTTACTAATGCTCTGCCAACCGAAACCCCGGAAACCCAACCAAGTGAGAACCACCGTCTCCACCGGGAAGCCCAGTTGTGCTCCATCTCTTCTCATCGCGGCCCTCCTCCGCGCCCAATAAATGTAGGAATGTCCGATCAGCCATACCAAACGACCTAAAAGAAATAGACCAGTGAACAGCAGAGCCCTTAACAATCAACGCCCCAATCCCCTGTTACACCAACTTGTCCGGCCTAACGTATGAGCGGAACCGAATGGACTCCCATCTTCCTATCCGTTTGATCCGCTCGTCCCCCAGACCTAACCGAGCCGCTTCTGTTGCACCCCAATTCTAAACAAATGCGTCCCGAAATGCATGGGTTCCAAGCCCAGCTTACCCAATCCTGCACAAAATATCCTAACGAACTGAAAACGGGACAAAGCCTTACCATCAGCATGGATGAAGAAACAGCCTTCCTTCTCGGGGCGGACTTCCAAGAATTCGGCACCACAAGCCACTGGGCAAACCCTAGACACTGGCAATTTGAACAATGTTACCAAACTTCCTTTGCCGAATATGTCCATCTTTGAGCGGCACAACTTAATCTGTACCTTATCTTCACCAATGGTCACGTCCCCCCACCGAATCCCACCAACCCCTGCTTTGTTGGTGCTAAGCAGCTCCCCAATATGGAATGCCCCGAAGAATGCCCAGACAAATGCCCCGGAAAACAACACAACTTCATATTTGGAGTAACATAATGCCGGTAGAGCCTCCACTAGTCCTTGCAGCACCGCGAATGACACTGGCCTCCTCGTATCCACCGATTTCTTACCCCTCCGAAAACCTCTTATGGCTTGCCTGACCAAGAAATGTTTCGTTATATCCTCCCATCCATTAAACTTAAAAAGGAAGGCCAATGCCGACATGTGCCTGTCAACCATAGCTGGTGAAGCCTTCCTGGAAAAAAGTCGACACAGCACCCATAACAGTATATCTAACCAACGTTCCTCTGAACAGTCCCCTCCCACTTGTGCCACCGACTCTTCCCATTCGTGCCAAACCTTCACATATGCCGCCCAGGTGCCCGGTGCCAGGGAACTCTTTATGAACTCCCCAAGCATGATGTCATGAGCTGCCACATTTCCGCCGGACATGCCAATCCTTCCTCTTGTGCCTCCGGTGCTGCTTTCCGAAAACGTTCCCACTGTGAACGAGACAGCGCGTCAGCCACTATATTCAAGAAACCTGTAACATGCCTTTCCCTGAACACTATATTGCTAGACATACATAGAAGTACCAAGTGCCTTAATAACTGTATCACTGCAGGAGATGATGCCGACAACCCATTGATAGCCTGGACCACTGCCATGTTATCTGAGTAAAATACTACTTTTTTGTTTGCGAGCTGTTTTCCCCATAACGCCACCGCTACCACCACCGGGAAAAATTCTAGGAACGCGAGGTTCCTTATCAGCAAGCTCGTCTTCCACTCCGCCAGCCACTCCTCGACGCACCATTGTCCCACTAAATAAGCCCCAAACCCCACGCTCCCGGAGGCGTCTGTAAACAAGCCTATGTCCTTGGAGGATACTCCCGGCTCCCGAAAAAACACTCTACCGTTAAATTCCCTTAGAAACCTTTTCCAAACCCCCAGGTCCGCTCTCATATCCGCCAAAACTTTCACGTAATGATTCGGTAACCGCACACCGCTCATTGCCTGGGCCAGCCGTCGACAAAAAACTCTGCCCATCGGAATCACTCTGCATGCAAAATTAAGACTCCCCAATAGCGACTGCAGCCCTCACAAAGTCACTTTTCTCGCATGCCACGCCGTGTCCACTAGCTGACAAAGCTTAAGTAGCTTGTCCGCGGGCAGTCTGCATTCCCCTTTTACAGAGTCAATCTCCAGGCCGAGGAAACTAAGGCATGAGGTGGGGCCAACCGTCTTATCCCCTGCCAAAGTAACCCCAAAAGAGTGTGCTATCCATTGAAACACCCTCAATATCTGGCCACACCGCTCAGATCCTTCCGGCCCTACACACAAGAAATCATCGAGGTAATGCACGATTGATCCCCCAGCCGACTCCCGTCGTACCACCCATTCCAAAAAGGTGCTAAACTTTTCGAAATAGGAACACGAGATGGAACAGCCCATCGGTAAACACAGTTCTACGAAGAAACCCCCTTCGAAGAAGCACCCCAAAAGGTGGTGACAACCCGGATGAATGGGGAGCAGCGAAATGTTGCTTCCACGTCCACCTTTGCCATCAGTGCACCGTGTCCCGCTCTCCGAACCAACTCAACCGCATGATCGAATGAGGCATAGGATACGGAACACAGCGCCGCGTCGATATAATCATTTACCGATGACCCCCGTGGGTGCGATAAGTGATGTATCAGGCGAAATTTCCCTTCCTCCTTTTTAGGGACCACCCCCAGCGGAGACACCCTTAAATCTTCTATCGGCAGGGACGGAAACGGCCCCGCCATCCTCCCCATCTGGACTTCCTTCATTAATTTTTCCCGCACTACCCCCGGGTAGTCCCGGACTGATTTAAGGTTTGCACACATGGTTCCCGGACCTTTGACCTTGAATGGGATAACAAAACCCTCTGTAAACCCCCGCCATAAGAACCTCGCCTCCTCCTGGTTACCGTACTGCCTTAACCACGGCAGCATCGCGCCGACTTTCATCGGCTACGTTCCCAGTCGCCACTGCCGTGGCTGTTGTCCCTGCTGCACCCCCAAAGTTAGATTTTCCTTTCTTAAAGCACCTGTTGACTCCATGATTTCCCCCGCATCCGGAACATTCATGTTTAAATCTACACAATGCCCCCCATTTGCACTGCCCTTCATTGTACAGCCAACATGTCCGGACGATACAGCGCTTCCCATGGCCGTACCTGCCATCCCTTGAAAGGAGCGCATTTTTCTGGGCCATCATTATTCTCATCCATAAAGGCAGGTCCATCTGATCCCACCTCATACTAAGATTCGCTGCCAA